AAATTTAATTTTTTCGCTCGAAGTACTTTTGCCAGAAGTTTGTGCTAAGGGATAAATGGGCAGATAAATGTACTGCGGTGCTTAAAGTTAGCCTGATGAAGTGAGAGGGAGAATAAGACAAATGGCCAGCTGGATATTTGCATAGATTGATATAGATCCATAGATATGTATATGGATCCAAGCACAAGGATGATTTTTGATGGATTGCCAAATTCGAATGCCAATCATAGTTCACTTCCTGGCATGCTACTTTCCCTATGCTATCTTAAGCATGCAGCAGCTCTCAAGAAACTTTTGTCTAGACCATTAGTATGCTGATCTGTGTATATTTCAACTCCAGTAAGCACATCTCTGGTCTGTCTGAAACTACGCCAAACATGATAGTGTATGTACATATATCACTAAAAGTGTGAGTGTGTGTGTGTGTGTGTGCTCAGCAAAAATGCATGAGAAAACGCTATGGAAATAAGCAACACCACCAGCAACAGCAGCAGCAGCAACAGCAGCAGCAACAGAAGCAACAACAGCAACAACAACAAAGGCAACAGCAACTACTAAAAGTAGATATGAAATTTTTAAAGTCTCGTTATTCTTTCTGCGTCGCATGCACTTCAAACAAACACATTTTGATGTTCAGCCTGAATGCCAGTGCCCGCCCAGCCCCGGCGACTGCTGCTCCAGCGACTGCTGCTTAGGCCAAGGGGGCATGGCCAGGGCGCCAAGTGGCCCCACTTTGCGAGCCCATCCATCAACTGCCAGCAGTTGGTTCATTTTTAAGCAATTTTCGCAACCGATATTTCGTGCATGGCAGACAACATTGTGGCGCTAACCCACAGCTCCATCTGCAGCCCCTTTATCGCCCCAGCAGCCATGACATGCAGATAGATGACTATATATACATATAGCTATAGCTTTGGCATTTTTGCATGGCAAAGCAGCTAAAAGTTGGCCAGCGCCTCTCTACTTCACCCACGACATTAGCCCCTGCATCATCATCATCATCATCACCATCAGCATTATCATCACCACCATCATCATCATCATCATCATCATCAGCATCAGCAACGTTAGCCTTCTTGTCAGTAAGTCTCCTGGCTACCAAAAAGTGGAGCAAATGTTTGAGTTGCCTGCACATCAACGCTTCAGCCTTCAGGTTGTCTTTATTAATTGGGCAGCAAATGCAAATTTCGAATAGGTCGGCCCCAACTGGATTCAAGCTTTGAGCCCTTGGATTCTTGTGCATTAGGCGAAGACTTATTTTTAAAGTAGCAGAGAATTGCAACTCAATCAATTAAATTGAATTGACTTCAACTAGAGTTTGGTAGTGGTTATAGATATGTGAATGCATAACTTTTAATATATGTATTTTCATATGTAAAATATGTCTACTATTATATTCATTTGGTTTTGTTTTTAGCTATACTGTTTACTATGATTATTTTGTTTTCATATATCCACATCAATTTTGTTTGCTAAAATTAAATGTGAAAAATATGAATTTACTATTTAAATGTATTTTATTTTCATTTCTAATATTGAATGTTTGAAAAATTTCACATCTATACGGATCAAGCGGTTAAATTTAATTGGAATTTCTCTATTAATGAAATTCGATAGTTTATTATTTTATAGCAGCGAAATAAATTTCTTTTTAGGATCATATTATTTAAAAATAAATATATTTACAAGATTAGGAAAATTGGATTTTCAGAACTATACATATTATAAAAAATTCCCAAAAATCTGCAGCTATATACAGCTGCGGTCATAAAATAATAATGCGGCTGAGCGCGAATTGTTGTGGTAAAGAAAATTATGACATTCACTATAAATATATAAATTAATATATTGATATATGTATCTGTATATACAATAATACATATTATATATTATTCTTAAAATTCACTTTCAATGATTTTAAAATAATATTGAGTTCATCAATGAGCTTGACTTGCATTTAGTGCTCAGACACAATACTATTTATAATATTATTTATAAATAGTATATATACACACACATATATACATATATGCTATATATATAATGTACTATGCATATTAGCCACAATCAAGGCATGCTTACAGTCTTGTAAGTTTCTCCAATTAGCAGAGGCTAATGCGGAATTAAAGTTAGGAAATTGGGCATCAGTTGAGCAAGTTCAGGCAAACTTGTAAAGTCCTCGTGTATTTCTGTAATGCCCCTTATCGATTCGGGCGAAACTTGCGTAATTAATGTGCTGCTTATGGCCTGGTTCAATGATGCTCACTTATCATCATGTGCGCCATAAACTAGTGATAGTCACGTACTTAAAGGCAGTTTCCGTAACTCTTCGCTGCGTTTGGTTGCCCACTCTGCCCCCTCTCCCCCCTCGCCCGTTCGCTTCGGCTATTCCCATCGTATGCAAATTGAGTGCGCGCTGCGCATAATCAAAAACTTCATTTTCAGCAATTTTGCAGAAGATGTGGCTGAGTGGGTCCAGAATTTACGAATTTTTAGACCGGCCCACAGATGGACGATGTTTCATGCACACGTGCGCAGAGGCGTCGCCTCGCTTCGCCCCTGTCTGCCCCCTCTCAGTGAATTGTAATTATATTACTTTAAACGTGAGCTCCAACTGCTGTTTTACTTAAACTTTGAATAACTGCGCGGCAAATTAAATAAGCGGCCAACTTGACACGACCCTGCTCATTTCCGGTCTGGGGAAGCTCGCTTCGCACTTCCGCCCTGCGGCACGTGATGTTGTCGCCATTTTTGACGACGTTATTTAGTATTTGCTGTCCGAGGCAGACGTCGGTCGAGAGCGTCTTGCTTTTAATTTTCATAAATTTTACTGCATGTACGCTCTATCTCTATTTCTCTCCCTCTCTCTCTCTCTCTTTCGATTGTCCGTCTCTGTTTGTGTCTTCAAGTTCTGTGTGTTTTGGCGTTTTGCACGTGCGCGCATTTTACTGCTTAATACGCAGCGTTGCACTTTACTTTTATTGCACTTTCAGGACGCGCTGCGTGTAAAAACGAACAAAGTTTTCCACGCGCTCGAATCTCTGCTGCGTTTTATGAGCTTAGCAGAGACGCCGCCCTAACGGGGGGCCTTACTAAACCCAATTTACTTTTACTTTAAAACTTCTTTAAAAATGCATAGGGAAAAGGGATAATAATCTTAAAAATTTCATTATATTCTGTCAAGTAATACAAAAGTTTCCTGCGAGACTGAGATGAAAAGGTAGAGCGCTGCTGCGGTTAGATATGTACCTTAGATCATGGCTGGTGCGAATGAAATGTTCTCCATATAGTCTATATACTTAAAAGGATACCAACTTGAAAATCTACTAGGAAATCTAAATAAAATAATTCTTTGATGAAAAGTGTTTTCCTTCTTTGTCACTAATACTATTACATAGATAACAGTTATTTGCACATCTTTTTGATTCCATTATTTGTTTTATAAGTCGCATTTTATAAAGCGCAAATCCTTTGCTACGGTTCCCTAATTAGGCAGACATTCCATTACATTGTGCGACTTAGCATATCGTATTTCATTCATCTAATTTGGCTGTGGATTGCTCGAAATCACATCGTAGACAACGCCCCCGTTTTCTGTTGTCCTGACTACGCCCCTGCCTCAGGCTGTATGGCAGACAGTCGGTATGCCGTTGCTTGGGCTGTGCTGCGCCGGGCTAGGGTTATGTTTGGGTGTGTGGGATGCCTCTGCTGCCTTCTCGACGGCTCCAACTCCAGCTCAAGCTTCAGCTGCTGCTGGCGAACGTTAAGCACTCGCTAACGGTCCACTGAACCGGTAATCAAAGCAAAATCACCAAAGCAGCGCTGAACTTTTTATGCTAATTTGATGCGTTTCATGTAACAGTCGCCTGCCGGTCAGCGATTGTGGGCGTTTCCATGTGTGTGTGTGTGGGTGTGTGTGTGTGTGGGGGTGTGCCACATTAAACATTTTAATAAGCTTTTTAAGAGCCCTGTCTTTAAGCGTAGCTAAGCGGGTTAAGCAGCAGCAGCACCACTTCAGCCGCCAGCCGAATTTGTTTCCCTTTCCATTTCCCTCCGCTTCCCAGCGGATCTTAAGTTCTACTTAAAACTTATACAACTGTTAACTTGCCTCTGAGCGCGGCGACTTTTTAGCGCTCGTGCGTCCCTACCTCATGCAAATGCGATGCAAAGGAGCATGAAAACTCTCAAGTAGGCGCCTGCCCCAATCGCCCGCCCGCTGAGCGACACTTTAAGCTGCAGAGATACAACTGTATGAGTGCGTGTGTGTTGTGTTAGCTGCAGTGGTGGTGGAGTGGTGGTGGGGGCGTGTCTAGGAGCACTTGTCAAAAGTCAACTTCACATTATGTCAAGCAGCATTTTTCCTTCCTGCGAGCTTTTCCTCACGTATTTTCCTTAACATTTATGTGGCTGCAGGCTGCTGCTGGCAGGCTTCGGCCCGCAGGCACTCTCTGCCCTTGCCGCGCCCCTACGGCACCCCAAAGAGAGGCGTGGCCTGCAAGCTATTTGCCTCCCCGCCTGCCCCTCCTTATGCTTTGCCGCATAATGCGAGGCTGACATTTACGATATTCCGGGGCATATTTTTTTGGCGCCTCCTGCTGCTTTTCGTGACTGTTTTATTTGATATTAATGTGGCTGTGGTTGTTGTTGTTGTGGTTGTTGTTGTTGTTGTTGGCAGCCCGCAGGTTAGCACATTATTTCCATAGCACTCATTGCGGCGCCTGTATATCACACACACACGCGCGACTGGGCCACTTCCTCGCTTTCGCCTGCTTAATTTGCGGTTGCCTACGGCGACGGATTCCGCAAGGATTTTCTAGTAAACCACTCGCTACTTTCCCCATTCTCAATGTCTCCCATCCCTATCTTCCCTCCCTATCTATCTCTTTCTACGCTGTCCGTTCTGCTCTTGACGAATGGCTTTGGCGGCCAAAGGACCCGTCATTTTTCAGCTAAAATTGTGTCACTGTGTGGCGTAATAAATGCCGCTAGATTTATTTGATATCTAAATAGGCTGTCGCTACGCACCGCATTGAAGCCATGTGAGAAATGTGCACCACTTAACATACCCAGCAGACAGCAGGGCCAACGGGTAGCCTTGAGTCTGGCTCGCCAGCGGCTTAAGATTTGCCACAAGAAATGATTGGGACATCTCAAAAGCCATTAATTCAATGGAGCATTAGCATTATGTGGGAACGTGAGAGCAGTAAACGAAATAATCGACATATCTGCAATTATGGGTTATAGAAATATAAAGTTTTTATATAGAAATTTGGAGATCCCACAATATTAAGGGGAAGAAGCAATATTCAGTTTTAGAAAAAAAAAAAATTATTGATTTATAGATGGGTACGTACGATTGAGTCACAATCTAATTGGCCTAAGTATTTTTCGTCATCTAAAGACATAAATTGCCTTCACAGGGTATCTATGTATAAATCACAACATCTTCGGCTTGCCTCTTTAGTGAAAGCTCTCTTCTGATTGTCTCTGCTAAGACTGAGGTCTTTGTTTGGGAAAATCTATACAAAAATTGATTGATTGTTTTATAAATCAAGTGAATCTTAACACAAGTGCTGAAAGGCAGTCTCGGGCCTTGGGCCTTGTGAATCCTTTGAGCCTTTGAGCCCGTGAGCCCTTGAGCCCTCGAGCCTTTGAGCCTGGCGGGCATCCACTTCTTGCAGCCGCAAACAAACTCATTTCATATGCCGCAAGCCGCTGGCTGCACTCTACATGATTTGTTTGTTGCTTCCACACACACACACATACACAGTCTCTCTCACACACACTCATGCCAGAAAAAAGTAGCCATATTTATCCGTTGTTGAATCATTTAAGCCGCATTATATGCGAACGTTGACGACGTATGGCAAAAGCGAAAAGTTATGCGACTTTGTTTACACAGCAAGAATAAAACGGCAACTGCAACTGGCAGCGCAACAGTAGCATGCCACATGCCACAGCGAGTGGCAGAGTGGCGGAGTGGCAGAGTGGCAGAGTGGCAGAGTGGCAGAGTGAGTGCCGCCGAGAGTGCAACTGCAATTTTCCTCATCTTTTTGGTGTTTATTTATTTATTCAGCGCTGAATTTTATTTCATTTCAGTTTATTTTCGCAAGAAACTTATTTTCGTTTTTACTTCAATTTCCTGTGCGCATGAAACAAAACCAAATGGCCAACAGCGAGCAACGTGAACGAATATCGAATACCCTGCAGCTGTACAGAAATTGATTTTACTTATAATTTATGCTGGAGTGAAGCGGCGTTAATATAGATATGATATAATCCAGATATTATATAATCCATCTTAAATTAGTATATCTGCTGCCCTGCATACCCTGTCTAGAGCAAACCCAATATACACAAAAAATGAGAGGATGTTGAGCACACATACATAAAAAAAAAGGAAAAGAAACGCAACTATAACAATAAAATCCTTTTACATACACATGCATACATAACACACACTCACACGCAGTGGAAGGCTGCGTTTTTGTTGTTGCTGCTGCTGCTGCTGCTTTTCACTTTTGCCATTTGTTCTGTCACTTCCGGCGGCAGCAACAAAAAAATATCTATACGTGTATACATATATATAAAATGGAAAACAACAACAAAATGGCCGTCCGCTTCCGCTGGTCTCTTATAGCCTCTCCCTCTTCCTCTTCCTCCCTCGACTGCTTATATTTGCCTACAGAACTGTTGTTTTTTGTTGTTATTTTACCCCTTTCTTTACCAACCCCGCTCTTCCTCTCTCCCGCTCTCTCTCTCTCTCACTCCCACTCTATTTCATTCATTGTTGTCTTGCGCCAGCAGCGTTTATTAAATGTCACACTGCGAATTTGCCAACGGCCGCCAAAGGCATAGCTTTAGCCAGCTCCAGCTCTCCTGGCAACTGCACTCTACCCTACCTCACCCTAGCTGCAGCTCGTCGCTTGCCTTGACTATCTGACATCCGTCTGGCATTCCGGCCTGGCCATGACGCGCCACACACACCCACACACACACACACACACACACATACACATATACACTCTCACACAATGGCACTTGTCGCGTTTGGAGATTTCACTCAGTATTTGCCTGATGTTTGCTTGTTTGTGCCTCGTGCTTCGTGCCTTGTGCCTTGTGCCTTGTGCCAGGCTTTTGTCTCTTGTTGCTGGTGCATTTTCTATTGTCGCTGCCTTTAAGTAACATATTTTTAGTTGCTTAACGATACGACACGCCCCACATCCGCACCCGCACCCGCACCCGCTGTAGGCCACGCCCATGCCCACGCAGCAGCCGAGGCACTGCTGACAACTCCCCAGGCAGTCAGTCGGTGACAATTTCATTTATTTTGCGCATCCCTCTGCCTTGGTCTCTCTAAAAGCAAAATCAAACTTCGTCGACTTTTTAGAATTTTGTTTACTTTGTCCACATGCCGCCTGCATGTGGAGTGCTCTCAGCTCAACCTTGAGTACAAATGAACTTGCTACACGCTAACAAAAGTAAATTCAACTGTTTGACTGGGCTTTAAGATATCTTTGCCACGCAGCATTTTGATTGATTAATTAATTATACTAAAGACATTACATTTTTAATTATCTAACTTTTTCAAAACAATCCAATGTGGTTAATAGTTGGGTTTACACTTAGAGCCTTTTGTATAAAGCCTGCTTATATTCAACTTTATGCATTGTTCATGCCTTGAATAAGCTTTAAGTTAGCTGGACTTTCGGCCTTACTGATTTTTTTCCTACAATCAGTGTATATCGTAAATATCTTTAGTAGAACCTTATACAAACTTTTTAATTCAGCTTTAAGCTGGATTAATCAGAACTTCATGAATGTTTGCCAAACTCAGAACTTCATAGTTTTATAACAAAAATTTTCTAGACTTTCCAGCTTTAGCTGGATCTTAAGGTATATAGTCAACATTGCTGAAGCTTAAACACTTAAACACTTAAATAAAAAACCTTCAAGCGATTCTTTTTAGGTAAGCTTTCACAAGCTGAAACCCTTTGCCATTTGCCGAAATAACAAAAGGAAAAAGTTTTCCAACTGAAATTGAATCTTTTCATAATTTGTTCACGCTTTATGTAGAATATATTTAAAAGTCAGCCTCTTGTCACGTTGCTCGATTTGCTTTGTAATTCGTTTGAATTTGTGTGTTGTTTGACAAGAAAGTTTCTCTTGTTGCTTTTGTTGATTTACATTTCCTTGATGCCAGCTGTCTGTCAGCTGAATATCGCATTACGCATACGCAGTGTTGCGTGTGATTTGCATCGCTCTGGGCTGCTGTCTGTTATGCATAATGAAATCGCTATAAAATTGTCCAAATAATTTGTTGAAAGAGGAATACAATCGCCATTAGCCCATGTTTATTAAAATTGTTTTCAGTCTTCATAAATTATTGACGTTTGCAATGTTTTTGTTTACCACTCGTTTGTGTGCGGCAAACGAAGAGAGAAAATTTGATATTTATTTTTAATTATTCGGCATGACCGACATGAAACTGCAAGCAGCTGTTGCTTGTTGCTGGTTGCTGGTTGCTTGTCGGTTGCTGCAAAACAAGCAAAAATTGTAATTAAATTGCAATGAAAACGAAATGCAATTCTCCAATTAAATGCAAAATGTGCCAAAAGATGTGCTGCAGCAGCGCAAGTGGTACGCCAGCTGGTCAGAGAATAGCACCAGCACCAGCAGGAGGAGCAGCAGTAAAAGCAAAGTAAATAGAAAGCACAAAATATTCAATTACAAGCAAAATTTGTGGAAATCCAAAACAAGAGAGTGCCGACAAAGAGATAGAGAAAGAGTCATGTAGCTGGTGCGAAACAACTTAGGGAAATATGTACGAAACAAAATGCAGCCTCGAGAGCTTTCAAGCTGTTGAAAGTATCGGAAAAACAGAATCCCACAGATGCTGCACAACGAAAGGGCTGCAAGTGCAGCTGGAGTTTGCTTAGGTGTTGGCCACTTGAGATGCCGAGCGAGCCAACGCTTCAGTCGCTCCGGCTTTCAGTTAAGGGAATTAAATGTGCTTATGCCAGTGCACTGGGCCAACAGACTTTTTAAATATTTGTTCATTAGTTTGGTCAGCAAATTGTTTGTACTGAAATGTTTGTTTCCTTTCCTCTCATTTATTTGCAGAGCACATCGGAGCCCGTCTACTCGCCGACCATGGCCGGAGGCCTGTTCTCGATAGACCGCAAGTTCTTCGAACGGCTGGGCACTTACGACTCGGGCTTTGATATCTGGGGCGGTGAGAATCTGGAGCTGTCCTTCAAGACCTGGATGTGCGGCGGCACTCTCGAAATTGTGCCCTGCTCCCACGTGGGCCACATATTCCGCAAGCGCTCCCCCTACAAGGTAAGTGTCCAGACCAGAACTCTCATTAACGCTACAACAACATGCGAAAGCAAACCATTTGAGAATTAAAAACTTATGCACACACAGCCAGCCACGCTGAGTGTGTGTGTGTATGTGAATATTGTTTGTTTGCTGTGTATGTGTGTGGGCTGTGTGCTCTCTGTAGTGTGTTGTGTGTGGCCCAAGGTCCGTGTTAGGTCAACAGTGGCCCAACAGTGGCTCCCTCTGTGCACATGTGGCACATGTGGCACATGCCAGCCGCAGCGAGTAGCTGTGCCAGCTGCAGGACATAAACACGGCAACCAGAACTTCGACAGGGACTGCAACCAGGAGCAAGGACATGCATGGGCTGGCCACTGCGGCCGCTGTGCCATAGTCTTTGCCTGCTGCCTCAATTATCAACGGTTTACGCTTGACAAAAGTTTGGCAACTGTTGTGTATGGCATGCATTAAGCTGCAACGAACTGTATAGATACCTGCCACACGCTGCTCGCTGCGCCCCACATGCCACATGCCACATGGCAGTCGCAATAGAGACGGCCAATAAGCTGCCGAAAATGACATCGAATTTGGGCGGTGGGCTGCAGCCTATTGAGCATCTCATAAAAGCAGCTAATGCTTGTGGGCAATTGGCCATTAGGGCTGGGGCGCACCATCATCTCGCCATGCTTTCGAACTTTGTGGGCAAAATTCCAATTGAACTTCAGCAATTTGACTGTATCGAAAGATGCGAAACGCAGCTCGAACTTTGACAGTTATGCATATGCTGGAGGCACACAGCGACAGTCAGATCCATTTACATTTTCTACAAAAATTCCCATCCAACTCCAGCAGTTTAACTGTATGCATGGATGGGAAACTAGCTGTCCAACTTCGTAGAGTTATTCATATGCTTTTGGCGTATATCGACAATCAAATCCATTTACATTTCGTAACTTTTTACAAGTTGTGTTTGAAAATTTATATAATGTACAAATCGATACAAATTATATTCACATTGAATTGCATGCATAGCATGCCACAAAACAAAATCACAAGCTATACATATAGATACCTATTAAGCTGTTTGAATGAATTTGGCATCCCAATGATTTAGCAACAATTTTTGTATGCTTTTTCAACGAATTTCATTCAAAATACTCAAATGCCATGGATTCCAATTTCGTTGTATTTCATTCAGAATAATACTGAGTCTAAGAGCACCAAAATGTTAGGTATAGGCTCGAATTATATAGACAATGCTCAACATTCAAGGAGCACATAAGCCGTGCCTTGTAGTGTAGATCCTCATCTTGGCAGTAGTTTTTTCCACTATTATCAAACATTGTTTTATCGATAGCGATCTCATATTCTAATACGAGTGGTACAGTTGTACAACATAATAATATAGCAATCGATCACTTTTTAACATAATCGATGTAGCTTAAATAGACAGTTGAATATTTTAGATTATAATCGGATTGATATGTAATATATTTTTTGAATGACTTCCTATATATTTACACTCATCGAATTAGTCTCGAATGTATTTATAAAAATCAATGATTTGTTAAAGAGTGCAATTATATTTGAAGCGAGTCTTTAAGTTGCCTCTGGCCCAAGCTACTTCATATAACCACAAGCCTCTCACAGAGTAGGCAAGGGCAACGCACACACTCAGACAGAGACTTTCTCACTCACACACGGACAATGCAGACAGTGAGCGCATAAACAAGAACAATACACAAGCACAATGGCAAACATAGGCCAGAAGGCAGACAATACGTAGAGGGAGAGGCAGAGACGGAGCGAAGCTGTGGTTGGCGAAGACAGATAACCACAGAGACGCACCGCAACAGCCAGCGGCAGCAGCAGCAGCAACAGCAGCAGCAACAACAGCAGGAGCGGTAGAAGTAGCAAGTGGACAACCAGCAGAAGCTGGTACACATGAGCGAAACGGGCTCATTCAGGTAATTAGGCTGCCTGGCACCGCCCAGCTCACCCACAAGAGGTATTGCGATAAGCTACAGATGCAGCTCCCGCTCCAAATTCAGATTTGACTCCATTGTATGAGAGCCGCTTGTTTGTTTGCCAAATATTTTCTGTGGCTTTTGGCGCCGTTCCCTGCGTTGTTGTTGTTGTTGTTGTTGTTGTTGTTGTTTCTGCTGTCGTTTGTCAGTTGCAGCCCAATTGTTGCTATGTAAATACCTCTGTCCTTATCTGCTCTCTCTCTGCATCTCTTTCGCTTTCAGTGGCGCACGGGCGTGAATGTGCTGAAAAAGAATTCGGTTCGTCTGGCTGAGGTCTGGATGGATGATTACGCCAAGTACTACTATCAGCGCATTGGCATGGATAAAGGCGACTTTGGTGACGTTAGCGAGCGCAAGAAGCTGCGGTAAGTAGAGAGAAAAACTCAACAAAGACCCCTAATAGATTGTACAGCCAATCGATGGTATCAGTGGAACTTTAAGCTAATGCTAGGTCAACAACAGTAAACGAAATTACAGTTAAATAGATGTAATGAGCGATAAATTAATTGTGAATTGAATGGAGATATATGTAGATATTGTGTAGGTAACAGTTAAGAGAGAAAATTAAGGACTGAAAAAATTGAGTTTCACTGACTCATTAAAGTCAAATTAAGCGTTCTTAGGTATAATTTCTGCAGGAATCGCACTTCATCATGAATATGAATGAATATAGAAAGTTATTAGATAGAATGAGATATAAATTAATTGTGAATTGAATGGGAAAGCCGCAATGCAGAGAATTTAAGTGATAAATAGGAGGAGATCTTGAATCTATTCTCTGTGAGTATTACTCCATAATATAAGTGAATAAGTTGAATAGATATATAAGTGACGAATAAGAGAATGAGAGAAAAATAAAGTAAAATAATTAATGCAATTGATTTATCAAAGACCAATTCAACAAAAAATTAAATGCATATATATTCTGTAGGACAAATTTGCTTAAAATAATATATAAATATTTAAATTTTAATGTTATCGATAATCAGTTTATATGTTTATGGGTTTTATAATTTATATTATTTTGTATGTTATTATCATATTTTATTTTATTTTTGTTTATTATTTAAATGTCATATTTTGTGCCTTAAAAACACTCTCACAAATGTATTGTTGTCATTGTTCAGGGTATCTCATAGTCACGTGACTTACTCATATATATATTCTATAACCACCAGTATAAAGTCCACATCAAAGTGCAAATTTAGTGTATAGAGTTAATAACAGTTTTAGAAGCTCAAAACGTATCTAGCGATAGCTGAATATACCCTTCATTTATATGGCTTACAACACTGTAATTAACTTCAATCTGCCCCTCTTTATCGACAGTGAGGATCTGCAGTGCAAGTCCTTCCAATGGTATTTGGAGAACGTATATCCGGAGCTCTTCATACCCGGCGATGCGGTGGCCAATGGCGAGGTAAGTTGCACAGTTTACGATTCGAGAAGGGAAACACGCGGCTATTGTTCAGCATGTGGCATGTGGAGAATGGCTGTATACCTGAGATATGGCCCCCAGACCTACCCCGTTCGTTCTTTCCGACTAACCCATTAATGTGCCAATTTTATGGATACACACATATACACAAACACATACGTATTATGTTTCCCCATTTCACAGATAAGGAACTTAGGTTATGGCGGTCGCACCTGCTTGGACTCGCCCTCGGGCAAGCGCTACCTGAAGAAGCCCGTCGGTCTGTATCCTTGCCATCGGCAAGGCGGCAATCAGGTTTGTTACCAACGCCAACGGCCACAGCGACAGCGAAAGCAACCGCAATAGCACAATGCAACAGAGCACTGCGACCGCCACAAACTCCGTTGAAGCGCAAAACCGTTAAGATACATCCATGTGTTATATATAAATAGTCCCCCCTCTCTGTTGAGCCCGTGTACAGATTGCTTAACTCGAATTCTTCCAGACAAAAACCTCTACTAATTTGACTAAAATGTATATTTATGGCACAAGGGTCGACACTTTCTAACATCTCGTTGCCAGATTGCAATAACGATAACGATAACCCAGCTGCTGTCCGTTTTCTAATATTGCTTGTCGGTCATCAAACAAGATTGTATCCGTCTCTCTATCTCTTTTACTCTCGGTATCTCCCTCGCACATATGACAAATCAACCTTCATTTGCAGATAAGAAGCATTAATACGAACATGTGCATCGATGCCCCAAAGACCGGGGACGAAGACCCTGTCGGTGTCTACGAGTGCCATGGCCAAGGAGGACATCAGGTATCCAATTCAACATCCATCATTGCCTCTCGCCCCCACCGTACATCGTTACGCATTATTGCTTGGGATCTATTACTCACCTATATATTTATATGTATATATATATATTTATATATGTATATACTATATGCTACTCTTGCATTGGTTTCGGCTGTATATCTAGAATATAAACTCTTCTGGTCTCGCTCTCTCTTTCTCTCTCGAGTGCTTTGTCCACCTTCTGCTTGTAGCTATATCCAGTAGTTAGACCTGCGCCTGCTTGATTAACCATTGGACTTTGCTAAACACCAAACTGATACCGGTATTTGTACATATATCTATTGACTTTAATGCCCAACGTTTAGATTACACACTGCTCTAATATGCTAAAGAGGCTCTCTGACTTTTATTGCTATAGTATTGGATCTAGATTCTCCTATTGGGAGATGAAACCAGTTAAGGAACACTTGTGAATTGACAAAGATTTATACACATATACTTTTTATCAAGTGAATCACGTATTCAGATACTTAAGACTTGTATTTATTACACATCAAAACCACAAGTTTTGTTCGTACAACTCAGTCAAGATTTAAAGCCAATCTAAAGTGCGGACGTGCGTTGTTAAACAAATTATTTTGCATTCTGTTCTTATTTTTGTTTTTATTTATTTAAAATATTTTTTTTTTTTTAATTTTTGTTTATAATTTATTTATATCTATAAAATATTTGCTTTGTGTTTTACATAACATTTTATTATAATTTTGGTTATTTTTTTTATTCCCATTTAACTAATATATAATTTTGTTTATATTATATATTTGAAAATATTTTAATATTTTGTTAGCACTTATATATTTATATATATTACTAATAATTTAAGTTTTTAATTTTTGGCTCTTGAACTCTCTTTATCTGAATGCCAAACTTAAATACTTTCTTAAAACTAAGGCTTACTGATTCTATTGTATATAAGAACTAAAAACAGTTTCAGAGTCTTCTTAGGGTTGATATTTAATTGTCTGTCTATATCCTATATATGTATGTATAATGCCCGTTTGAATTTTGAAAATGGTTCTCCCTAAAGTGTTCTACGATTCTGACCTTGATTGTGGGGCCTTGTCAAAATTCTGTTGATTTGTGAAGCAAAGTATCCCCCCAAAGTATCAACCTCCCCGTACTCGTCTAATGTACAACATATTTTTGACAGTCCTGCGGTTTTGAGCACTAATTTCACGGAGTTTGTGGTTCAAGCAAACGTTATTTTGTTTTGTTTTGTTTTGTTTTTCTTTTTGCCTCAACTTTCTCTTTAAGTTTTTGGCACTTAACGCATTCGCCTTTTAGCCGTAGCCAGAGCGAAAGTATTTACCAGAAAATTGGAAGAAAACGTTGCCAAAAGGGCGTACAAACTGCATTGACTATTATACAGGAAACGACACAAACACACACACACACACACACACGTGGTCACACATGCAATGGGAATTGAGATTTATGCCACGTTGCAAAATTAATTAAATCGCAATCATAAATAAAATGACAAAAATGATAAATCATTTCCATGGCTTTGCTTTTGCCAGCTTCATGGTGGCTCTGACTGTCTGTCTGTGCATGTGTGTGAGCACTTTACACAACCAGCAACAACAACAACAACAACAACAGCTGCAGCAGCAAAAACTGTGACAATTTTACGAACATTTAATAACAAGCATTTCGACAACAAAAACTGCACACGAATCAAATATCTACACACACACACACACAGGCAGCTAGACAGACAGACAGGCACACAAAATACTCTAAAACACACACACACACACACACATTTATATGTGCATTCAAACACACAGATACATTTTGCGGTGGGTTCTACGTTGTTTATTCAACATTAAATGGAAAGTGTTGACCTCGTTGCACGCCGTCGTGCAGCGCACAAAAAACGCATGAGAAGTCGCCGGGCGGCTGTTTTGCCACGCCTAGCGCAGCCGCCGCCCAACCGCCACCCAGGCCTGCCCCACGCCGAGCTGCAGCACTATGTGGCATTGCAACAAAGCGCTACAAAGAAACGAAACAAGTAGCAAGGGCGCACAGCACAAGGGCTATCGACTGCCTAAATACCCTGTAAACTGTGTTGCGGCTATTCACGCATGCATATTCAAGTGTCGGTCCAGTCTGGCCAATATACCCCACATCACGCACTTTTAAGGGGCATTGGAGTCAGCTTGGCCCGCGACTGAATAAAATAATCAACATTTGCCAGCGTTGAGGACACACACTAAAATGTGTGGGCGTGGCAAATTTTAATTTCGCTGGCAATGCAAAAAGAGGAAGAAGCAACGAAAAAAGAGGGCGTCTGGGTGTTGTGGGAGTGGCAACAGCCATTGCACAATTCTTTTGACTAGTCAAAGGATCTCCCAACAGCAGCAACAACAACAAAAACGAAAGAAAAACCCGCGCCATATTATGAAAAAAATTCCCATTTTAATTTTCGTTTTCTGCTGGAACGAAGCGCTTATAAAATACTAAAAGTTCGCGAATGCATATTCAAAAAATACCGAAAAAAAACCAACTGCAGAGGCAAGAAAAAAATGAAGAAGAGTTTTAATGCGAATGAAAAAGATACACACATAATTAAAAATGTAACACGCTGCAGGAGAAAATAAAAAATAAAGGCGAAAAGCGGAGGATGAGGAAGAGGAAGAGTATTACCAAAAGAAAAGCCTTGGAATGGGCTTTTAAGAGGGAAATGCATGTTTAAGCTGAGCAAATGAAGGGCAAATGCAAAGAGACGATAGCAGAGGCGTGGCATGTGGAAGGCGGGGGGTGGGAACATATGCGGCAAGACGAGAGTAAAAATGTGAAAAGTAAATATACAGTGAAGCCTGGGGCTAGGCGAACAGCCAGCGCAAAACTTTAACAATTTTAGTTTGCAATGTTGGCCAGGAGTATTTGAGTTGAAATTTAGAATTCAAAGGAAACTGAAGAGCTATAAAAAAAAAGAACGACAAAAGAAAGTGCATATGAAAAGCTTAGATAAATATAGTTTAAAAAATACTTAAAGTTAATTTTTTTTATATATATTTATATATATTACATATTTTTACTAAACATCTGTTTCCATTCGAGCCAAGTTTTGTTAGGGTATGTGCCATTAAATATTTTATTCATTTATTAAATTATTTAATATGAATAGAACTTAAATTGCGTAATCTATTTGTAAACATTTTCATGTTTGTTCTTTTTGGAATAGTTGTAGAATAAAATATAAAATATAGTTTTCAGATTAGGACTGGCTTTGTTAGGGTATCATCATATCACTAGCAGCAGCGCCAACTTTTGCTTTTCACCAATTTCCGCAAATGCCATTTGGGTTGCATTTGGTTTGGTTTTGGTTTGGCGCGGGGCAAGAGCAAACGTCGGCGCAGCGAAATAATGTTGCAACATTATAAATGTGTGCAGCCGAGGCACAATAAACAAGCCGAAACGGCATTCACGTGGCCAGCACCATCAGCGCGGTCAGCAGGGGCAGCGGCAACGGCAGCGGCGGAAGCGGAAATGCTAACACACAACAAAATGGCGGCCGTGCAGGCCATGACCAGAACAAAGGCCATGGCAGGCGAGGCCAGACCTGGCCAGACCCGGCCAGCTGCTGGCAACATGGCTCAAATTATAAAAAATCATGGCAAAGCCACAGACAAAACACAGACCAACACACACAGACACACACACATACACGAACACAGAGACAGACTGTGGACTGGTAGCAGCTTTTTGGCATTAAATTTAATATTAAATAATACTAAGTAATGCGGCTACTTGGCTTAAACGTTATGCAACAATTTCTAGCACTTGCTGTCACAATTTGTTTTAATACCACTTCTTATTCTTCTTCTTCACTTCCTCACCCATCCAGTTCTGGATGCTTAGCAAAACGGGCGAAATACGCCGTGATCAGGCCTGCCTGGACTATGCGGGCAAAGACGTGATACTCTTCGGCTGTCACGGCTCCAAGGGCAACCAGGTGAGTATATGGCATATCGCACTGAGTATATGTAACTGAACCTTTGCCGGCTTTTCAGTTCTGGACATATCGCGAGAACACGAAGCTGCTGCATCACGGCTCCTCGGGCAAGTGCCTGGCCATAAACGAGAGCAAGGACAAGCTCATCATGGAGGAGTGCGATGCGTCGCATCTGCGCCAGCATTGGATCTTGGAGAACTACGACAGCAGCAAGTTGTGAGGCTACTTTTATGCGAAGGGCACCGTATTGCTGGACAGCAGAAGCAGCACAAGCAGCAGCATCAGCAGCAGCAGCAGCATCAACAGCAGCAGCAGTAGCAGTAGACGTATTCATAGTTTTTAAGCAGAGGTCACGGCCCGCGAGAGTTGTGCAATAGGCATTAGCAGAGGATTTGCCATGGCTTTTAACTGAAGCAACGACATGAACACACACACACACACACACACTTATAGATAGAGACACACATATAATACGAATTATTTATCTGAATATTCATTTCGTACGTCTTGATTTCAATTGAAGCGATAAGCCTAGCGAAATTAGTTGGTAAGCGCACAAGCAGGAAAGGGAACGACTGTTGTACAGTAGATCTAAGTCTTCTAAGCATAGCACGTAGCACATTAATTACTAAATATATCTAGATATACACATACATATATTATAGTTATTTAGCAACTTGGGCTAAATAGAGTTCAACTGGCAAGTCGTAGCGCAATTTTTGCATTTACATGTTAAAAACTTTTTAGCACAATTTTTTAATTCAAGGCAAACTTTGTGTTTGTCTGTGTGTGTGTGTGTGTGTGTGTATTTGTGTGTGTGCAATTGACAAGCCAATAACTGAGCTGTGCAGCACAGTGCATGCACACAAGTATATATATACATACATATGTGCTAGATATAGATATCTTGTACTATTTATGAAATTCTCCAGACATCTAAATGGCTTTGCTGAAGCCAAATTCCAAATATGTTTTAGCCTGTAAGTCTTGCTTTAAGTCTATTGTTGTTGTAGTTGATTTTTTTGGAAAGCATTTGGTGATTTTGCCCCTCTCCTGCGCCTCTCGCCCCCCCTCTCTTATCACGTCATTCCCAATTGCCTAGAAGGATGTACTTATCCTGCTTATATTTATTTTGTTTTTTTTTAAGCTCAATTTCTGTTTCGCAAATATGAGAGAAGACAAGGAGAAACCTATGCCAAATTATGTTTACGAGGGCAGACATACATATATATATTGAAATTTACATCTATATATATATATTTATATATTCATTTGCATTTTGTTATGAACTCAACAAGGACTACATATCCCGTTTGTTAGACAACGCCAGCTTATAGAGTAGCTACACTTCGTGTGTAGAATATTATATCATCAGCAGTTCAGACAGACTTATCGATATCACTAAAGTATAGAGCTAGGTACTTAATCTTAAGACACAAATATGCAATAGTGCCTTCTACTTTAACTGACGTACTACTACTACTACTAAACAGCAACTATGGAATCGTTTGCGCGCCCAGCCCTAGTGGGTCTTCATATGAGTCACAAACAGAACCGACTGTAAATACCTACATGTGCATATATAAATTTATATATCTATACGAAAACTGTACAATTTTATAGCGCAAATGTAAATAATCGAACATTTGATAATCACGCGTTCATATATATATATATATATATATATCGAGCTATTGTCATGTCGTGCTTGATTTGCGATCGTAGGAACGTTCAACGTTTACATTTAGCGTACAAACCAAAAGCCATAAATGTGGTTAAGAAATTTTGATAATGATCCAATAATACCCTAAGCGCGTAGTGAATGTCTAGTACTTAAGCAATTACACAAGTTGTACAAGGACACACAAAATAAAGTTACAAATAAAGAAAAACATCGTGTTTATATAAAAACAAAATATTGTTTTGTAGATATTAACATGTAGTAAGAAGTATTTGATGTTGCTTCTTTGCAAGTTC